CCTGATAAGAATGAATTACAATAGCCCAGCCTAAAACTAGACACGTGAACTAGTTTTTCAGGATCACTCTGAGACTGGATGTTGTTCATTTTAGAGATAGTGGGAAATCTAAGAAAGACAACAGAACACTGGGAAGGCGTTGCCTGGTCTGATGAGTTTACCTCTCTCCTGCATCATTCAGATAGAAGGGTCAGAAACAACCTGAAAGCATCCTGCCTTGTATGAACAGTTCAGGATTGTGGTGGTTTAATAGTGTAATGGTTGCCACACTTTTGAGCCTTTTACCAAAGCATCACAACAGCATCACTCATCTTACACAAGTACACAGATGGTTAACAGCTCAGATCATCTCAAACTGGTTATTTGAACATGACAATGAGTTCAGTCTACTGTAAACATTATGGATGTGCAGCTGACAAATCTGCAATAACTTTGTGTTGCCATCATGCCAACATGGACTAAAAGGAATGCTTCCAGTACTTTGTGGAACCTGTGCCGTGAAGAATTAAAATGGGCATGAAACACTACTGTATAAAGGCCAGTAAATTACCCAGCCCTGTAGATGTCACACTCTCTGTGAAGGTGGATTTAAGAAATAATTGCTTATAGTTTTTAGAACAAGTTTAATGCCATCTTGTGTCAGTATAGAACATGATATCAATGGGTTGGTTGTTTGGTTGCATCTAACAGATTTACATTAGTTTATGTTAGCTTACTAGAAATAATTAGTTTGGCTAGCTGCACTGAAACAGGAAAAATCCACTTGTTAGCGTTAATGTTTGGGTTTGAGCAGGGCACCACAGTGTAAATAAGCCTTTCTACAAGTAGTGTTACATGTCCACCTTAAGGCAGCTCTGGAGTTAAATGGGGGTCTTACCTGTACTTCCAATCTGTACCTAAGTACACAAGTATCCACTGTATGCTGCTGATTACTAAAATGTGAATGTTGTAGTATGTAGGAATTACAGGGAACTTTATACAAAGTTTACCTTTACAATCTGCTGGTTTTCTGTGGGTGTGACAAAGTCTCCAAGAACCTCCTTGACAACGTGTTTGCGTTTAGTGGCCTGTGACATTATAACCGACAGCCTTCACGTTCCTTCGCCAGCTGAGAAAGAAAGAGTGGGTCGAAAGTTCTAGTTAACTAAAGACACATTTAAAGGCTAGACCTAACAGTAACAACCAACGCTGAAAGGTCAGCTTAATGTGATTACCAGCAAAATTTAATTATTTTTCCTTTATAAACGTCTATAAAACTTTCTGTGTACCTTAATAATTTAAACTTCCTCTGCCAATTTTCTTCTAAACAGTAAGTAGTTGCTTACGAATAATAACTTAGCGGAAAAGGCTAACATTAGCTGTCTCCACATTAGCAGGTTAAATACTACCTTGAAAGAAAGAAAGACAGGAGTGGCTGTTTGTCTTTTTGACGCAGAATGTGTCTCCGAGCAGCAGGTATAAGTTCGTGTACAAAAAGAACCTGAAATATTCAGTCACAAAAAAAATCGACTGACATGCGTTCTTGTTTTCAGTACACAGTGCCTGGAAAGACAGGGAGCGTTACACTTCCGATGTCAAGTGGGGTATATTTTCAAAATAAAAGTTCCATACGTGTAAAATGTTCATTTTATCGCTAAAAGCCCTATTAATGACTGGTTAAAATGTGACTAAATTTATGTAAATGAACTTCAGGATGCATTGTAATTCACCGTAAGATTATATCACTAACTTACGACGACTTTTGTTTCTTATTTTAGAAGCTACAGCTAAAGACCAGCTGTTCCGTTACCTTCCCTTGGCATTGTGGGAAAATGAGGTTGTTTTGATTAAAGGAACATTCAAGAACACGAACGTTGTTGCCCCTCTATCGTTCAAAGTGTTTTCCTACATTGTGTTTGTCCTGCTTCTTCTCAACATACCGTTTAAAATCATAAACAGGTTAAAATGTTTTCTCCCTTTATAGGCCTTATTGTCGCTGTAGTTATTTGAAGTTAATTTTGCCTTATGGTTAAAGTTATTATATATGCACTAAATAAATTATAAAAAGTAATGATTTAATTGTACTGTCAACCAGTTTATAGTTTCAGTGCACATGAAAAACTTTATAATAAAATAGGGCAGCACAGCGGTGTGGTGGTTAGCACTGCTGCAAGAAGGTTCTGGGTTTGAATCCATCATTTTCTTCTTGAGCATCTGTGGGTTCTCCAGCTTCCTCCCACAGTCAAGAGACATGCAGTTGGGTGAAGCAGTGATTCTAAATTTCCAGTGAACGGTTGCCTGTCTCTCTGTGTTACCCATGTGACAGACTGTCCAGGGTTTACCTCATTTCTCCCCCATGGCAGCTGGGATAGGCTCCAGCGCCCCCCAGTGACCCTGAATTGGATAAGCAGAAGAAAATGGATAGGTAGATCATAAAATAACAAACAACTGGATTTCACACTTTTTTTTAATTCAACTCCCATCATTCATTTCTCACTGTTATACAGCTATTATTGCAATTACATTGCACTAAACTGAGTTTGTGCAGTAAACCACTTCAGAATCAAAGCCTTGTTTTTCAAAAACTCTTTGAAGCACATACCATCAGCTCACCACTATGAGCATGGGCTCTGTTACTGTAAGTAAAGATGACTTACAAGCTGTTGCCTTAAACACATTAATCATTTTAACCAAGCTTCAGGACTAACAGAAAAAGCAGATGTAATCTTGATTTAAAATTACTGGAAAGTTTCAGTATCACATCAAAGCTAGCTTTATTAGAGCTGGTAAAACACTGGTTTGGTCTAACGGAGAAGAAACATCAGCAGGACTTCACATGTGTGCGTGTTGAGCTCTTGTGCATTCTGGATAAGTGATGTGGAGCTGGGGTCAGATGACAGCTGTGGTGCATGTAGCATGATGATGATGATGATGATGTGTGTGTGTGTGCGTGTGTGTCTGTAGAAGGTGTTAGGGGTTCAGTTGACTACAGCAGATGAGCACATCTTGTTGATCCCACATGCATTGGAGCCCCTGTAGAGGTAGTAGTAACCCTGTGTGAAGGAGAAAAAACAAATTAACACTCACTCCCTCACAGCTGTACATGAACAGAACTCATTTTTTCATTATGCTATGAAACAACAGTCAGCTTTGTAAAGCCTAGTGCACGGATCAGCACTTCTACTGAGTCTGTTATGAAAACGGTGCTTTATGTTGGTGATCCTCAGTTGTGTAGTTGGTTTCAAATGAAAGATTTTTAGAATGATAAGTGTTCTGAAAGGTCATGCTGTCTCACCTGCTCTCCATAATCCTCCCCCCAGCTGTTTTTGATGGCCCAGAAGGGAATACCTTTACCTGAGAACACAGGGGGGAAACATTGTTGACAAACAAGGCAAAAATATGTGTCTGTGCTTTCCAGAAACTGGGCAAATATTTAAGACTAAAAAAATGGGATAAAAAATAATAATAATTACGTTCTCCGTATCCCACCAACAGCACAGCGTGGTCGATCATCCAGGGGTTGCAGAAAATCTTCAGAGGGTGAGATATACCCTTCCTGTAAAACTGGAGGGAATGAAATGATATTCGAGATAATGTAAGAATAACATGTATCTTAAGGTTATTATCTTTATTATCTTTTATGTCCAGTTTAGATAGAGGTATGGAGGTGATTGGCGCGCATAATAATAACAGCAGCAATATAAACAAGAGTAAGAATAAGAATTGCTCTTATTTGGGCAGGAAATATGTCACTCCTGATATGATACAATACACTGCCCATGATACTATACACATGCAAGAAAATGATCTACATACGACTTTGCTGTTTGATAAGCACCACCACCAAGTACTGACTCTGATAAGTCAAACTGGTGGGGGTTAGGAATGTTTTAATGAATCAGTAACGTATAAACCAACATTACACAAGGAGGCAACGTGACATATTCTATTGATATGTTTATTCCACTCCTAGTTGACACCTCCACTGAGGAGCTGATGTTTGTTTCATTCTGGTAAAACTTTGTAGGCTTGTAGAGTGAGGTCACATTAATGACCTATTAAAATTTAGCTTTCATCTACCAAAGTCTTCAAGTTCAATATAAAGATTTACTGGTAAAAAAACAAACAAACAAACAAAAAATGACCAAAAGCCTTATAACTTACAAAACTATGACTCTTACAAGTACAGTGTGTATTGTCAACATATAGAAAATACTGTATAAAGACTTGAAATATGATGTCACATTTGACTTCTGACCTTTTCGTCAAGGTCAACAGACTGATCTGATGGTCAAAGTGATATTAATGTTGTATAGCGGGATTTAAAACTCAGTTTCTGACTGCCATTGTTAATAATGACAATGTATTTTTATACTCTTATATAAGACAATAGAACGATAAATGGGGATTCTAACTATCACAGTATAGTTTGCATCTAAATATCACATCACATTTGACCTCTGACCTCACTTTTACATTTCCATCTTAATTTCAAGCTGACCCCAAAACATCTTTAAAGAGAGGATTGTTAGAGACTGAGTTGTTTAGTTAGTCACAAATATACTTCAGTAATATTAAATAATAAGCTCAAGTTATTCGTGTCCAGTTGTTTACAAATCAGTACTTATTATCTATCACATACTCACTGATACCCTTCTCTGATTTTGACTACACTATAAACTTCTTCAAGTACCTCTAAAAAACAAAGAAAACAAAAAGAATTCATCCTCTTAAAAATAAACACTGCGCAAGACTGAGCTGCTTTGCTTCTTGTTGTTTTGAGGAGTGATTTCACCTCTTAAAAAAACCTCCTACCTGCATTGCAAAAGCATTCAGAGCAACAGAGACTGGCCCATTCTCAGCCAGCCAAGCAGCAATCTCTGAGAAGGAAAAAATACAAAAATAAATCAAAATGAGTCAATTCAACAACCCTTGGTTTCAAACAGACACACTACAGTTAGAATAAGATAAAAATCATGGACATGTCCATGCAGTTAAACCACTGTTGTCTGTGTGCTCACCCTTCTCCTCTTTGGGCAGCTCCACGGAGCTGTTGATGTAGGCGGCCACCTTCCCGGTGGTGAAGTCACACCTCTGCTTGTGCCCGGTGTAGGAGTAGTCACTTTCAGTCTCCAGACCCCCTTAACCACACGAGGGGCAAAGATTATAAGAAAGCACTTTAAGGAAAAATCTGCTTGTGTTCAGTAAAAACATCTCTCTGTTTTTACTTATTGCTAAACACAGAATAAAATCTTAGTTCTACCCAGCTTCTCAATAGCTTCATAAGCATTTGATGGAAGCCCGCCTCTGCACGCCTGGTCCAGCCCGTCACAGTCAACCAGCTCTGTGAAGAACAAATCAGTACTCAAGCATGTCAAGACTTTATGCTGGATTTGAAAACCCCTGAGTTATTCTATCATCTGTGCTACTTTTCTGTGTCACCTTGTTCGGAAAGTGACAGCAACGTTCCATTTTTCAGGAACCACTGGCCTTCAATGTTGCCTATGACAGAAAATGCCCAGCAAGATCCACACATTCCCTGCAGGAGAAAAGAAACCACACCCTGATCAGCATAAAGTGGGCACGGTGTACAATTTAATCGCTACTAACAAGCTCTTTAGGGTGACCGCCCCATAATGAACTCTGTTTGTTGGCACCTGGTTCTTAACAGGACTGACAGCTCCATGATCCCTCCAATCCCAGCTGTCAGGCGAGGGGCCTTTGGCGGGAGTAGCTGGTTTCATTGGTTGATGGAGAGTCCATTGACTCAGCAGTGGGTTTAAGTATGTAGAGTGAAACTCCTCCTCTGGAGAAAAGCAGAAGGATATTTCACTTTGTTTTCTTAAGCTGAAGCAACACGTGGAAAGCAGAAGAGACGTTCTCTCATCAGAAACTGTGGACGTGCATTCACAGTTACGTACCGGTGAGGTCGCTGAACTTGGTGACTCCATACTCAGCTGAACCTTGATCCAAAGCCTGGAGCTTCTCAGCAGTCTTCAGGTTCTTGTGGAAGATGCGCAAACGGCGGTCCACTTCTGCAAGGTCAAGGGTCAAAAGTACATTCATAAAAGATTCTGCTTAAAAGCCTTTCATTTTTTTCCATTTTCAGTTGAATTTAATTTTGTTTCTAAAGTGTGAACAAGAGAAGAAACATATCAGATGTTTAACCTGAGACATTTAACTATTTCACTTTGAATTTGATGGCACCAATATGTGTCAAAAAAGTTGGGACAGAGTAAAAAAATAAAGACTGGAAAAGTAATTGATACTAAAAGAAAATAGTTGGCGATACATTTTGCAAGTTGCAAGTAATTGGGTTAACTGGGAACAGGTGAGTAACATGACTGGGTATAAAAAGAGCATCTTAGAGAGGCGGAGGTTCACCAATCAGCAAAAAACTACATCTACAAATTGTGGAAAAATTTCAGAATGTTCCCTGACAAAAAAACGTGAAGACTGTGAATATCTGATGATCTATGGGACAGGATATCAAACGATTTAAAGAATCTGGAGAAATCTCTGAGCACAAAGGACAAGACCAAAAATAGCATTGGATGCCTGTGATTTTTAGTCCTGAGGCAGCACTGCACTAAAAACAGATATGATGATTCTATCATAGAAATCACTGCGCGGGCTCAGGCTCACTTCCTGCAATCACTGTCTGTGAGCACAGTCCACTGTGCCAGCTGCAAATGCAGGCTAAAGCACTATCATGAAAAAAGAATGTGAACATTATGAAAACATGTTCAAAAACCTGCAGCTCTGACGATACGGGAGTGCATTAGCACCTATGGAACTGGCAACTTTCACGTCTGCAAAGGTGCTGAAAGTTAAATACAGAGCAACACATGCTCCCTCCCAGATGATGTCTATCTCAGGGAAGGCCTTCCATATTTCACCAAGATACTAAACCACATACTCCATGTATTTCTTTGTGGTAGAAGAGTTGAACTGCTGAACTGTCCTGCCTGCAGTCCAGACCTTTTCAGTTTGAACATTTGCATTCAGGTGAGACTCCAAACAGGCTTTGATTACTTAAAGTGTTCAGTGTGTTCAGACAGGAATGCGACACAATGTCCATACGTGGTATGAATGAGATTCAGTCACTCACCCTCCTGACTGCTGTAGACTTTATTGTACTTATTCATAAACTCTTTAAACCGGCCCAGCAGCTCCACCGACTCCTAATGCAAACACACACACACAGAATCAACGACAGAAAGCCTCGATCTCAAATCTAAATCGATTAGAACAGTTTAAACAAACAAGCAGACAGGCAGATAAAACCACAGGCCTGTAGCTGTAGAGCCTGACATTAACTTTACCTCCAGAGGCTGGCTGGTGGATGGATCCTCTACCTTGTTGCTCTCTTCTACTTCAAATTCAACTGATAAGAGAAATGAAACACAGGAAGACATGGGAAGTGTGAGAGTATTTAACACTTAAATCAGTCAGTCAAACTGTCATGCAGGTTGCTGCAATTCACAGTTTTCACGGACGATTTTCAAGCTGATAAATATA